CACGACCTGAGCCGAAGGCAGAGGCTTTAACCCACTGAGCCACCCAGGCGCCCCCATATATGGCATTTTAAAGAAACAAAACAAATTAACAAAAATGGGGAGAGAAGAGACAAGCCAAAAAACCAGACTTAATTATAGAGAATAAATGGGCAGTTACTAGAGGGGAGGAATGTAGGGCGATGGGTGAAATAGGTGAAGGGGATTAAGAATACACTTACTTTTTTTTTTTTTTTTTAAATTTTATTTTTAAGTGATTGCTATACCCAATATGGGGCTAGAACTTACAACCCCCACATCATGAGTGACATGCTCTACTGAGTCAGCCAGATACCCCAAGAACACACTTATCTTGATGAGCACTGAGTAATGTAGATAATTGCTGAATCACTATATTGTACACCTGAAACTAATATAACACCAGATGTTAACTATATTGGAATTAAAATAAAGAATTAAAGTAAAAAAAAAAAAAAAATACTCTTGTGGGATTCCTGGGTGGCTCAGCTCATTGAGTGCCTGACTCTAGATTTTGGCTCAGGTCATGATCTCAGAGTCCTGGGATTGAGACCTATATCAGGCTCTGCACTCAGAGGGGAGTCTTCTAGTCTTCTTCAGGATTCTCTCTCTCTCTCTCTCTCTCTCCCTCTGCCCCTCCCTCTGTGCTTTCTCTTTCATAAATAAATAAATCTTAAAAAAAAAAATACTCTTGTATCTAAAGAATGTTACAACGATCACTTATATTCTAGGCCATATAAGATTTTTGAATAAGTTTTCCTAATCATCAGCAAAATATTAAAATACATTCACCACTGAGACCCTTTAATATAAAAATGGAGCTGGTGTTTAATGGGACTGGCGTTAAGAGCTACTCATCACTACTGTGGCCTCAGGCAGGCCACACAATCCCTCTGGACCTCAGTTCCTTCATTTCTAAAGAGATAACATACATGTGCCCTCCTCTACCTCAAAGGATTTTGTAAGGTTCAAATGACAATGTATATGAGAAATGGTCTTTTAAATTATAGGCTGTTGCTCAATATTAACTATGATGCTACTTGTTTTGTGACTCCTGAGACACTGGCACACCCTAAGAAACTTTAAGCAACAGGAAACTTTTGGCCAAATGATCCCTGTCACTCCCAGCCCCAACCTTTCATTCCCTGGCTGCTGAGGAAGTCACAGCAGATGGCTGATAGCAGGCGGAAGGAGCTACAATATGACCAGTTTGGGGAAATTGGTGAACAATCAATCTCCCAATCCTATCATCTTCCCCTCAGCCATCCTTCACAACCCATCTCCCAAACATCTTCGTTACCATCCAGAGCCTTCTAGGAGCCACTCAGTACTTGGCACTCAGTAGGTGTTTGATATTTACTGAATTTGAGAACCAATTTAAATGGAATTTTTGGGGCACCTGGCTGACTCAGATGGTGGGAGCATGTGACTCTTGGGTTGTAAGTTTAAGCCCCATGTTGGCTGTAGAGATTACTCAAAAATAAAATCTTTAAAAAAATAAAGTAAATAAGTAAATAAATGGAATTTTCACATCTTCCAGTAAAATCATACATTCATCCATATATGATTCCTACATTTTGAAATATTATAAGCAGGAAGAGTTGGGGATTCCTGGGTAAAGAAAGATACAAATAGCTTTCTTGACTTCTTATGTCATTTTAGGCCCCCAGCCATTTGGTGAAAGAATGAGAACAGTCACCACAAGGCCAGAAGACAGCCTCATCATATTCAGAAGTGAAGACAGACTACTTGATACACACTCTGATTATCTCTGTATGTTTTAAACCGCTTTGAGCACTCAGATACCAGACCCACTGGAGCCAGAGAATTGATGATGCTGACCCTTCCCGGCCCTCATGACTCTGGCTTGGACTTAGTCACCCCAGCTCCATGCTGTATTCCCCACTGTGTAAGCATCTTCATGAATATGTATGTACCCTCAGTTAAAACTTCCCCATTTTTGTCGTTCTGGGAGACGCTTCTTTGGGAATGATTCCCCCATGTTCTCCTTTACTTGTTGCAAGTAAAACCCTTCCTTTTCCTATTCTTTGGTTTGGCTGTGTCTTTTGTCTTGACACCCACCAAGAGGCAAACCTTGGTAACAATAAGACACATCTAACTTTAAGAGAGTATAGGTGTAATATATCAAGCAGTACAGCCAGTCTTCCTGGGTTCTAGGCTGGGGGATCTTGGACAAGTCATTTATCTTTCTATGCCTCAATTTCCCATTTGGAGAATGGAGGTGATAGTAACTTCCACAAAGGAATGGGGCATGGTGAAGAATCAGTGCTCATTTAATCAATCAGTGTTAGCATGAATTATTTATAAATTATGGTAATGGTTAAAAAACTAATAGTAATAAGCAAGGTGTCTTGAGCCTCTGATGAATGCAAAAATCGGACATCATTTAGAATTGGTCAAAAAACTGGAAGAGGGGGTGCCTGGGTGGCTCAGTCAGTTAAGTGTTGTGAGATTGAGCCCCATATGGGGTTCAGTGCTGAGTGGGCTTGAGAATCTTTCCCCTCCCTCTCACTCCCCCTCTGCTCCTCCTACTCCCACCCTCCCCCACTCTGCTTTCTCGCTCTCTCAAATAAAAATAAAATCTTAAAAAAAACCACAAAAAACTGGGAGAGAAAGGAATCACCTTTTTAGGAGGAAACAAGAAAGCAGATGAGGTGGAGTCAAGAAAGAGAAAAGTATTAGAAACAAATGGAATTCCTTCAATGACACGTAGAATGCTGCCAAACATTTTAAAGCATTTAAAAATCACGTACACCAGTAGTTCATATTCTAGGTCATAAAGCACTTAGCAATTCTGTCTTCAGTTTCATATGGAAGGAGTTCTACCCCAGTTGACAAAATTAATATGGTTGGGAACTACATGTAAACTTTTAAGTATTAAACTACAGTGTTTTATTCTACCTAAATCACTGCTTTAGTGGTCATCCTTAATATGAAATTAAACTATTAGAGCAAAATTACGTAGATGTTTCTTTTACAAATAAATCTTCTAGGCATGATGCTAGTTTTTAACAACGTGGTGCTCTGTGACGCTGCCCATCCGTGTCGTTTCAAAGGAACTTTAATGGATCATCATTAGCATTTTTCTTTATTTTTACTATGTTCTAAAACACTTCTTTTGATGGTGTATCACTTTTTTTTTTCCAAAGGAAGGAACAAAGCTTACAGAAGTCTAAAATTACTAGAGAAGTCCTTGAAATCAGTAATTAGCACACTTTAATCAGTCTTTCCTCCTCAGCTCAAGGGTTAATTAAGCAACTTATAATTTAATCACTCTTATACAGTAATCAATTCACTTCATGTTAATCAAACATTAGCATATACGAATACTCAAAACCAGAGGGTTTCTTTTTAAAGATGAGTACCTGACTTTGTACCTACCACACATGAGGTATTAATTCAAGTTTGAGAATGACTCAGCTTGAAGAAGGGAGGGGCACTGTCCTCCTCATTCCTTTCAGAAAAAAATCTTTCCTGACTAGCGGGGAGAGAGCCCCGAAATGGTTGAGAACACACCCTCAAAGTTCGAAATATCTGGGGAGATGTGTGACTTACTTGGAATGCTGCTACATAAAAAGAAATATTATTCGTCAGAGGGACACTACTGATTTTCAGTCTTGTTGCACTTTCTCTGGGGAGTAATGAATGCATCAAGCTCAACCATGGGGAAGCATTACTTTTCTCTTGTTTCATCTGTCTCATTCTGAGCAGAACCCTAGAATGTGGTTTTGGCTCAGGTTTCTCTATCATCCATGAAATCATGGTGCCTGGAGAATTTCTCATCTTCTGACCCTTTTCTCAGGGTAATAATAATAATAATAATAATAAATGCCTCAACTGCTGAGATACGCTGTGATTCTTTAGGCACTTTCCTGGCAAATAAACACCTCCACTTGTTTTGGTATATAAATTGAGGGAGATAAAGACACACATGCACTCTTTCTTAAAATTTCTGGCTTACATATTTCTTTGCTCACCCAGAACCTGGTGAAAACTGTGGGGGGGGGGAACCCGCTGTAGTTTCAGGGGGTTGTGGGGCGTTAGTAAGATTTTCATTTAACGACATCTGCACACAATCTACACAGTGACTTTGGTGATACATTTATAGGAAGTACATAAAAGTTTTCATACGCTGTTAAGGGAAACAAGTATTTCTAAAATTTACTATACACTATTTAAAAACTGCATACAACCGTAACTCTATATATTATTTAATAAAATCTTATCCAGTAAAGAGTGGGGGGAAAACCTGCCTATCTTACGCTTTCAGGCCAGTGACTAGCACTTTCAAGAAGGTGTCTTCTATGGAAGGAGTTACACAGTAAATACTGAGAAACTAACGGAAAGGGTTAATACAGCATGCCGGATTTTAGGGGAAAATGGAAGCTGCAGGGTCTTATTCCACCAAGCACCCAGCCACCGTTCACGCCGCAGTCCCTCCATCTGTCCTACTCGTCCCTAATCCTTGCTATCGGAGGAATCCTGGATTTATTTTTTGCTCTGCTGTTTTGAGGAAACTTACCACTCACCTCGAGGACCACTAAATTGCTGGCGCTCTTAAAAATGCCTAATAGGAAGAAAGAAAAAAAAAAAACCAACAAAAAACACCTCTGGGAAGAACACATTCTGGCACTCAGAAAATTCTAGAAGTTCTGCAGACCCGAGTGTCACAGTCTTTAACCTCAAATAACGTCACCGTAACTTTTACCTTCTCTGATTTTTCTCCGTTTCCAAAGGCTCAGGTCTAGTAGTGAGAATGTGGCCACCAATAATACGCTCACAGGTTTTTGTTTAAATCGAATGCGCTTTCTCACGGTCGGAGAGGAAAATCCACCCACAGCCAGACAAAACTGCACACCTCCGCGGAGAGGAAATCTCCGGCAAGCAACTTCTCCGGCTGCAGCCCCCCGGGGACCGTGCCGGGCTGGTCCGCCGCGCACGGCCTCCGCCCGCGAACCGCTCACCTGAGCTCCAGCTGGTCCAGGCTCTCCAGCAGGCGGCTGGAGCGGTCCGCCATGGAGGAGGAGCGGCAGAAGCGCCCCTCGTTGGCTTTCGCGTTGATCTTCGCCTGAGCCATCTGAGCCTCCTAGGCGGGGCAGCCAAGAGGTCACCGGCCTCTCCGGCGGCGACGAGTGGAGAGTCCGGCGGCTGCAGGCGTCGCCGTCACCGCGCGGGGCGCCCGCCTCCCTCTGACGCCCGCGGAGGGCGGCCCGGGAAGACGCGCCGACAAGGCCGCCGCCGCCGCCGCCGCGTGGCCAAACAAGGGTAGGCGCGCCGCCCGCCAGGCTCGGGGCTACCGTGCCTGGCAGGGAGCAGCTGCGGCTGCCGCTGCGGCAGGGAGCTTGCTGGCTGCTGGGCCTCGCGGATGGGCCGCCAGGGGCCCCAGGGCCAGTGGAGAAAAGCCCGGCGGCCTCCGAGGTACCTGGAGGGGTGGACGCGGGAAGGTGAGGACCTAATGTGATCGCTGGATCTTGGTCTCCCGACTCTGGACCAACGCAGTGCCCAGTGCCCAGTGGAGACCATCTACCCCCCCCCCCCCCCCTCGGGCAGAACAGCCCCCTACCCCTGTGAGCCCTCGACTCTGCAGCCTGAATGTAGCCAGCTCCCCATACACGAAGGTACCTGACGGTAGGCTGTGGTTATTTATTTTTTTAATTTAATTTTTTAATTTGGCAGAGAGATCACAAGTAGGCAGACAGGTAGGCAGAAAGAGAGAGGAGGAAGCAGGCTCCCCGCAGAGCAGAGAGCCCGATGCGGGGCTTGATCTCAGGACCCCAAGATCATGACCTGAGCAGAAGGCAGAGGCTTTAACCCACTGAGCCACCCAGGTGCCCCGGTAGGCTGTGGTTATTACTCAGTGACGACTTCACTTATTTTCTCCCACTGCCCATAATCCACGGCAAAACCAAAGGCATTAAAAAATCTGTCGATGAGGGAGAAAAGTTTCCTTTATGGCACAGGTAACATTCAAGTACAGCTCCTTGCAGTCTGTACTTGCCTGATCCTGTCTTGTTGCCAGCCCCTTTCCTGAGGTGGAAATAATGAAAGCCTGGACACCACCACTGAAGCTTACAGGGGAAGGAAAGCTATCCTACCTTTCTCTTTCACACCCAATTTATTTAAATCTCCTGTTAATTAAAAAACATGCGGCAAGTCACTAGGGCAGATAATACAAAGGTCAGTAAAAGTGGTACAGGATTGGGAGTACAGATTTAGGTACTTAGAAACTTGTGCTTTGCTCTCATGTCATTATAGCCATGCGCCTCATAGTGCAGGGATGAGAATGTACAGGGCACATAAAATGACAGATAATAACAGTTTAAAGCTGAATCATAACCTTTAATCTGAGATCAAAGCCATTTAAATACTTGAACAGAGATGAGTTTGGATTCCAGTTCCCTCTGAACTTAATCTACATACTAATAAACTATTTTTGAAGGGGATTATTTGACCTCATTAAATATATTTTGTCGTCATCACGACACAGACTTGGAATCCAAAGACATGTTGTGAATGGTTTGAAAGTCTATCGTGTAATTTTAGAATCATCCTGGACTCTTTCTCTCTCCAGTCCTATAGATGCTACCCTTAAGTAAATCCCTTCAGCTCTACTTTTAAAATATACTAGGATTCTTCTCCCCAGTTCCACTGTTAACACTCTGGTCCCAACACCATCAATTTTCACCTGGCTACTGCTCCACCTTCCTATCTGGTCTTTCTCCTTCTACTCTTGCATCTGGTGCATATGTTCTCAATATAGTAACTACAGATAATCCTTCCAAAAAAGCGAAGATCACACCACTCAGTCTCAGAAACACAATCTTCCCTTCTCTATTTGCCTACATTAGTTACCAACATTGGATATACTTATAATAGTGGATAACACTCTATCCAACCCTCTCCCCCGCTGTCATGTGTTCCATAAAGGAATGTGAGCTTTGCTTTGCTCACAGGTATATCCCCAGTGCTTAGAACAGTCACTGGCACATGGTTAAGTACTCAATAAATACTTTGTGAGGGAGTGAATGAATGAATAAATGAATGATGTAATGAAAAGATATGCATCTTTATCAATGTTGGAAACATTTACTTTTGATAATAATCCATTTACCTTTCTGTAATATCATCCACTGAATACCTTAGTGTCCAAATTAAGTTCAAATTATGAAATAATTTTAAAATGATTTTTAATTACTTAACAAGTAGAAATACAATCAGTGACAATTATTAATGAAAACAGTAAACAACCCAATTATTGTTTTTTTAAGGGTCATGATGAAATATCCCTTTAGTGACATATAAAAAACTTCATTTACTCTCTACCATACACACCACAAAAGCTTAACAGAACATCAGTGTATATCATACATGTGTGAGGTACCTCTAGCAAAGAGGTGTTGATTTCTCTTTCCCACATCTGCTTCACCCCTCTTCTTTCTGGATCATCCTTTCTCTGCTCCTCACTATTGAGCAAGATCCTGGAGATGTCTGTAAGCTCCAGCTCATGACTACCTCCTAAAATCCTGCCTGATGACTTTAACATACAAATTAAAAGTATAATGTGGTCGTTTTGGAAAAATGGTAAATTCTCAACCAACAGGTCTGTCTACTTAAAAAAAAAAAAATGCAAGCAGGTAGGACAGAACTGACATCGTAAGAAATAAAAACACAAACTGGTTTCCAATGTGGATTGGAAAGATTATAGTAATAGAACAAACAAACAGTAATGCTATTTCACACTAAAATATCAAGGTGCAGAGAAAGAAAATTCTAGCCATGATTTTTTTTTTGTCTTAAAGACAAATTCATATTTATAGAAAAATTTAAGTCTGGTATGTAATTACTACTTAAAATCTTTAGGGAAGACTTTGTGCACATGCACAAAGATAGTATGGCAAGCCCTTCTTCGTCTTCTATTTATGTAATGTTTTTTATTCTTCACAATGGAGCCTGACCATTTAAAAACTAAATGTATAATACCAAATGTAGGAAGCTGACGGTTTAATTAATAATTAAAATGAAGACACTTCCAATGAAATAAAAATTTTAAAGGTTAAGGAAGATTACTCCTGAGTAGACCATCAACATTATTTTTTGGAAGAATATTATGTTTACACAAATATATATAAAAAAGGACTGTTGTTATTAAAAATACATTTAATTATATGCAAACATTTTGACATCATTCCCTTTAAACTATAGATAATACAAGTCACATGAAAGTCTAAACAGGTTAAAGGAATGGAAAAGGTTTCAATAATTTCAAAGAAATTAGGGTTTTTTGTTTTGTTTTGTTTTTAATTACAGGAATGTGGTGCTCCAGTTACAGCAGGATAATACAGCTGAGTGAAACCCACAAAGAACATTGCCCAGTAAAAGTTTTTAATCTGTTTCCATGATCAGTTTCCATTACTCTCTTCTAATAATCATAAAGAAAGATCTCAAAGGTATTCTATATTAGTGTCACATAAGAAATAGAATTTACAGAAAAACTGAGCTAAGACAGCTTTATTTATATTCATTTTCACTCCTAAAAAAATAAACTAGAATCATCTGTACAGTACAAATAAAATTAAACAACTAATGTTATTTGGGAAACATATAAACAATAGTCAAGAGCCTCTCTATTTTTTAGTTCTTTTAACCTAAATATATAAATTCAAAGTTAACTGGAAAACTGTGATAACTATATTAGAATACATGATTTGTATCTGCATTAACATGTATTCTATTCTTCTGTACATCTTGCAAAATAGCACAAAAATACAAAGCAAATATCAGATGCAAAAGCAAAAAAACCATGTTTCCAAATATATTTGTACCAACAGATTTCTGGTCTCCTTTAGAAAACAAACTCAAGAATTGATTATCCTGAGTCTCTTCAAGGCCACTTGATGTTGTGTGGTAATAACTTTACAATTACATTTCCTCAAGACTTCTTCTAATAGCTTCTTCTAATTCCACATCTGCATTAACAAAACAGAGAATTTTAATATTTAGGGCAGAAAGCTAATAAACATGCTTTATGTAAATCTCATCAACTACATCTGTCTTTTCAAGAAAGGAAGGAAATACAAAGTTGAGAAACCTAGGATAACTTGGCAGTTTCTTCATAAAAGTTGAGTGTTTCAAAATAATGAGAATCTGGATATAACCTCAGATTGAATTATAATATGAGCTTACTAAGGAACTTGCAAGTTATTTCCAGTTAGGGACAAAAGTCAACAAACTTTTGATATCACTGACAATCACTTAAGGCAATGCATATAAGGCTTAAAATAGAAATAGAGAGGCAAAAGCATGAAATGCCAAAATCTCACAGGCATTAAAAATTTCTTCTTAAGCTTTCTAGCATCTCAGGTAAAGAGTGAAACTCATAGCTATATAATGTCTTGAGAAGCATATAATATATGCATTCATTTAACAAATATTTATCGCATGCCCACTGTATACCAGGCAAAGGAATACAATAGTAAACAAGAATGACATTCTTGGGTTTACAAGTGGTTTCTCCATTTCCTGGCCTTCACCAGCTTCTCACACCAGATTTATTTCATCCCATCCAGTCCAAAGTCTCTCAGAGGCTCCTTGGTTCACGGGTACCAGTGATTTCTCTAAGATGCAGCTACACCTTCCTCTCAGCTGGGATACTGTGTTATGTTTCTGTAATTTAAAATACTACAGGCTAGTATACACTGTATGTTAAATTAAAGCTAGATTCTAGGTCAGGGAGTTGCCCTAAGATGAATTCTAGGGATGAGGAAACACAAAGAAAAGCCAAGATGCTCTTAGCAAAGAAAAACAAGATGATAAGACTTGTAAAAAATACGAAAACTTATTTATAAAGTTATAATAATTAAGACTATGGTACCAGTTTCTAGAAGATAATACAAGGGAATAGCTTTATGACCTTAGTGTAGGGAAATATTTATTAAACAGAATTTTAAAAAATATTATGGAAAACTGGTAATTTGGAATCTATTAAAATTACTTTTATCCATTAAAAGACACCATTAAATGAGTAAAAAGGCAAGACATACAGTGGGAGAAAATATCTGCAATACATGAACTTGTACCCTGAAAGAACTAAAAAATTTTCAACTCCCAAAAATCAGTTAAAAAAATCCAAAAGAG